CATATAAAGCATCTGTTTGATTTTTTGATACTCGGTATTTAAAACACAAGAACATGTGTATTTGCACATGCATTATGCAACAACTGAAAGCAGACAGACTACCTTATTAAATATCGTATTTCTGAGTAAAGTTTCTTGTTTTATTTTCTCAGGAATTAAAGAGTCCAGTGGCAAAATTATACTTGCACGTTCTTAAATGCAGAAAATATTCTTATGTACACAGTCTCGGCTTTATCCAAGTTTTTTAAAACATATCATAGTCCTATAAAAGCCTTTTTCCCAATATTTTCATATTTTACAAAATTTAATTTTATATATTTACATTTCCAATTAATTTCCCCTATGAATAAGGCTATGATTATTTACAAAAAATGATGTTCATTTTTTCGTGAACAACATTGGGTATGTTCTACGAATAAGCATGAATAGCTCCATTGTTGCGTCATAATACCGCTCTTGACGTCAAAAAATTACACATCTATGCCCCGGGGTATAGTTTTTGCTATCCATCCTCGGAAAATTTTCATGCAATTTTGCCTCCATTTTTAATTCCAGCGATACATCTATTGACTGATGATGTCATAATGACTTCAGTAGCATTGTGACGTCATCGGGATTTCTTCTAATTATTCTTGCAGTATTATCTTACTCCAAAAAATTCAAACCTAAGAAATTATATTATACATCAGCATAATAAAACGCTTATCCACTGGTTGTGAATAGAATAACTCTTATGAAACCTTTGACAGGGACTATTCCCCGACCGAGGCCAAGCCCTGGGGGAATAGTTCCCTGTCGCGGGTTTGATAAAAGAGCTATCACACTCACAACCTGTGGATTAGTGTATATTATTATACCTCTACCGTAATATCTTTATATAAAATTAATACCATAAAGCTGTCTATTTCTCTGAGGACTACTCCCTGGAAAATCGGAGCTACTCCCTGGGACTATACTCCGTCATGAATATTTATAAGTGATTTTAACCAATCAAAGTGTTCAGTGGGCGGAGCGTTCAAGGAATCTCGAGTCTGTGACGTCATATTATTAGCAATGTAACTAAAACGTCACAACATTTCGACATGCGATGTCGAAATTATACTTGAATTATACCCAAATAAAGACAACGCTAAATTTTTGAAATGTCAGTGAAAATACTTTTGAGAAATAATTTTATCGTTTTAAGACACGAAGCATTACTTATGATACAATGTATTAAATCGCATGCATTTGTAATTATGACTCTATAGTATATTAGCTGACCTGAGCTTAAGGCTCAAGTGAGCTTTTCCGATCAAAATTTGTCCGTTGTCTTTCGTTGTCGTTGTTGTCGTCGTTGTAAACTTTTCATATTTTCATCTTCTTCTCACGAACCACTGGTCCAATTTTAACCAAACTTGCTATAAAGTATCCTTGGGTAAAGGGGATTCAAGGTTGTTCAAATGAAAGACCACGCCCTTTTCCAAGGGGAGATAATTATGAATTACAGAAAATTAATGGCATTTTTAAAAAATCTTCTTCTCTAGAACCACTAGGCCAGGAAAGATGAAACTCATGGTGAATCTTTATCAGGTAGTGTAGATTCAAGTTTGTTCAAATCATGACCTCCAGGGGTAGTGTGAGACCGATCAAAGTTTAACATAGGAATATACATGTATAGGAAAAATCTTTTTAAAAAAATCTTTTTCCCAAGAACCACTGGGCTAAGAAAGATGCAACTTATGTGAAATCATCCTCAGGTTGTGTAGATTCACGTTTGTTCAAATCGTTATCCCTGGGGATGGGTGGGGTGGGGGCAAAATAGCGGATCAAAGTTGTACATAGGACTAGATAAGGAAATATTTTTGAAATTTTTCAAGTACATGTACTTTAAAGCCATGATTAGTGATATTTATGTGGAATCATCCTCAGGTAGTGTAGATTCTATTTTGTTCAACCTTTCAGGGATAGGTTGGGCCACTATGGAGGATCCAAGTTTTACAATAAAATATGAAATAAAATAATCTTATCAAGAAAAGCGAAGCCATGATTAGTAATACTGATATTTTATACGGAAGCATTTTCCGGTAGTGTAGAACTCAATTTGTTCAAATCATAACCCCAATGGTAGCGTGGGGCCACAATGGTGGATCAAAGTTTCACATAGAAAAATAAAGGAAAAAATCCCAAGAACAGAAAAGCTATCTTTATCGTCATATTGACATTTAAGCATCCTCATGTATTGAAGATTTAAAGTTATTCAAATCAAGGCCTTTGGGATAGGGAGGGAAACAACGAGGAAACAAATTCAAATTATTATGCAGTTATATATATTGGAAGAAAAAATCTCTTTATGAAGAACAGCAAAGTCATCTGCTGTATCAATAGGAAGGCAATCTCAAGTAGTATTAACCCCCCCCCCCTTTCAGTGAACTTTTCAGTTCTGGTCTGATTTGTGCTTTTTCCTGTCCCATTTGCTCAGGCGAGCGATGTGGCCCCTGGGCTTTTTGTTTTAAACAGGGCAGGAGCTCTGTTATTGTTGATTGTTTACGATTCACCGGATGCGTTCAGCCCTCAAAGTCTACGCATCACAACTGCACGGACTGAGAAAATTTTGTGTGTTTGTTTTGCTTTCGAACATGTCTACTCTGATTTTTCTGGATAAAAGTATTAATATTTTTCATTTTTACACAACAAAATTGCCACTTTCCCTAAGTATTAAGAGTAAACTTAAAATTTGTGAAAGTGTAAGGATGTGTCAATAAAACCCGCCAAAAATTTTTAGGTTTTAATAACTTTTACATGAAATCAGATGTTTAATTAATTTTGGTGTGAAATGCTATCAAAATACGAGTATAAAAGTTGTATATTTATAGTTATATTATACAGAAAAAATTACCCCCAAATCTGTGTCTGACTACCTTTAAAGCTTGCTGTCAAATAATTAGGATAATTAGGAACCGGGGGGAGTGGGGTGGGGGAGTTAGATTCCAGTTTCAAATTATTAAATAGCTGTTCATGTTTTATTTTAGCTTCATTTACGTAGCTCTCTCCTATTTTTTTTAAATCTAATATTTTTGGAGAGAGACCAACCCCCCCCCCCCCCCAAAGGGGGAGGGGGCTACATTAATGCAGTTAGTTTTATTAAACCACAAATCTTTTTAAAATTATTTTTCGATGAATATTTTTAAGGACATACTCAACGTACCTTACCTACTGATAATTTTCCAGGATATTCTTAACTTAAATTTATAATTTCATTACATATTTTTAGACAAAAATTCAGCATGCGTTTCCCGTGGATTTTGAAAAGTTATCGAATTTAGAAAATTTTTGCATTATTCAAATAAAAATGTATAAAAATGATAAAACATAAATTCCAAATTTTTTTTCATCAAAAGTTGTTTTAAAAGAGGTGTACAAATCCATTTATAAACATTAAAAGTACATGTTCTTGTTTATATATGTGTGTGTTTTGTTTTTTTTTTCTCTCATATATTGTCTTTTTTGGTTCTTCATAGTTTTGCATGTTAATGTCTGTTTAAATGGAACAAGTGTAATATTTATTTAATGTCATATTTTATTTATCTCCATGAGGAGGAAGTAAAGCATGAATGAATGAACCAGAGACCTTCAAAAATTAAATGATAGCTTTATTTTATCAATTTTTTTAATGCTGACTTATATACGTACATTTTTTTTCAAAAAATGCAATGGTGATTCAGTGTAATAATAAATTTTCTCATAAAACTGGATAACATTTTGTATCAATGTACGTCACATTTCCACTATTTCCAAAAAAAAAATAAATATACATCTATACTGTAAATGACTTTTTACTCGCGAGAACTTTATTTTTGCGTAATTACACGCGACAGTGTGATTGTAAAAATTTAATTCTCGCGTATTAAAATAGCATTCCATAATATTATATAAAGCAATAACCACAATTTGTGAACAATTTGTCTCGCTAATCAAGGGTCGCAAAAGTTCAGTGATCTTCACTAATAAAAACAATTTATTACATTTTTACCCGTGAAATACTGTAATTTATTCATTGAATAAAAGTGACATCCTATCACAGTGTGAAAGGATACCAAAATGATATCACTGTGAAAGGATATCAAAATGATATCCTGTCACAGTGTGACGAATATCAGAAGTGCGTAAAACTCTCGATTTCCCTTCCCATAACGAAGATTGCTGTAAAGAAAATATCCCTTGACCTAATATAAGATAGATGGAAATAAATAAACCATTCTGACAACGAATAAAACTGTCAAAATTACCAAACATATGCTGCTAAATCCATGTTTACAGTGTTTTCACCTCACATAGCAATGACGTCTCAACTGATCAACTATGACGTCACGAGTGTAGGGCTATATTACAAAAAAACAGAGAGAAAGGAAAAATTAAAGAATTTTTTTTTAAATGTAATAAACAGAAACTCGTGAGACAGGATTTTTTGATATTTTCACTCGTGCTTCGCACTCGTGAAAATATAAAAAATCCTGTCCCACTCGTGAAATAAATTCCATATTCAGCTACAAAACATTGAATATCCTCTATGTACATACGTAATAATGATTCTGATCGATTACTAGTGTGTGAAGAATCAGGATCTGCTTACATAGTATTCCTTGTACTTGTAGTTTGTAACAAAGACAAAGATACAGATGGTAAGAAATAGTTTACTCTTTTTAGGTGGATCTGCAGATATATCGGTTTGTGAAAGTATGGAAGATGGAAACATCAAAGAACTCTACGTTTCCTCGAGCGAAGACTGGTGCTGCACTTTTGTATTTGAAAAATTTTGTAGCATGTTAAGGGAAAAAATTGGAGAGGGACCTATCGAAGATTTGCGAGCAAATGAAAAGGACTTTCATGATTTTTATGAAGAATTTAATTGTACGTTAAACTTTTTTTTGAAAGGAAGTTCAGAGTTTTTAGTTCTTAAGACTCCAGTTCAACTTTTACAAAGAATACCAAAGAATGCACTGTCATCCAATTCAAAAATCATGTCAAGTTCAATTGACGAATATTTCTTTTTTCACTATGACAAACTAAAGGTGAGAGCTAGATGTATTAATGAGCTCTTTGAACAACCAGTTTATAAACTATGTGGCTACATACGGAAAGCCATCAGTCATCCAAATTCCCATGGAGTCAAATTGATGGTTATAGTTGGCGGGTTCTCTGAAAGTCGTATGCTTAAAGAATTCCTTCAGGAAGAATTCCCAGACGTGAAAATCTATATTCCTAATGAACCATCTCTTGCAGTTATGAAAGGAAGTCTTATATATGGTCATAATCCAAGTGTTATTGCTCAAAGAATAGCCAATTTTACTTATGGGTGTGTTCCTATTTTTGAATTTGAAAAAGACGAAGGATTTACATCATTTGGCACTGAGGAAACACCATTGTGTAAAGGACCATTTGATAAACTTGTCGAAATTGGAACAGTTCTGCTCATAGGTGAACCCCAGGTCGTCAGAAAATACCATAAACCTGTTGAAGCAAAATTTGTCTCCTTCTTTATCTACGGATCAGATTGGAAGAATCCAACAGATGTGTCTGATAAAAGTTGCTTTTATCTTGGAAACATAACAATGAAATATGAAAATTTTGAAAGAGATGCAGGAACTGTTCAATTGGAAATGTTATTCAGTGGACCTGTCATAAATATTACACTTAAAGACCTCAATTCAAAACGCTCGGAAAAAGTAACAGTAAACGCAAGGTATGTTACAATAAGATATCTTTTATATTAGAGTCTGAATATCGAACCTCCATCTATGTTAATTTTTCAATTCATCTGAATTTCAACTTTTCATCAAAGGACACCCAGTCCCTACAAAATAAATTTCGTTTAAGGGTTTTTTGGAAAGTTGAAGGACTTCTTTTAATTTTTCTTATATACTTTGACGATTAATTACATTCACGATATCACAAAATTTGCTTAAATTGTTTCATCAAAAAAGTCTCTGGTGTTTTAGAAATAACTTAAATATCATGGTATATTTTAAAATATTATACTTTCATGTAAATTAGCTGAATCTGTTTGGTCGAGAAATATTTGTTTAAAAAACACTATTATCCGCTGAATAATGAAGCCGCGCCCTCAAGCAAAGCAACATTCAACATTGCTTGACGACGGGTGGTATTCAAAACAATTTCGACTGCGCAGAATTTATGCGCGCAGAGTTCACTGTTATATGTATTTGTATAAGACATTTAGCATAATATTATAAAAAAAATAGCATATAGTTGAGTGTAACATTAAAAATTTTCACCCCATCGAAAAGCATTGTTAACCCCGGCTGTGCCTTGGTTGACAATGTTTTTCTTGGGTTGACAATTTTCAATGTTACACTCAACTACATGTAATATTTATATAATGCAAAATGTAAGCTCGTGATGCAATTAACATCCAAGAAAACGCTAATCAAGAAGCCCATTGGCCATAATTATAATCTGCGTAAGTAAAACCCCCGTCCTTTGTCAGTATTACTTTTTCCTATTTCTTCACATATGATTATTAATTATCCTATGTACCCATTACCTTCAAATTAAATGGACGCTATCTGAAGACCCTTCTTCAAAAATGTAAATTATTATGTCGTTCGTGTTTCTGTTAAAATGATTTCCTATGTATGCCTTTATTTAACTGTGATCGTTCATTGAGCCACACCTTGTCCTCGGAGTCATATTTTTAAAAAAAGACGCTACATGTACCTGAGGATGCTTCCATATCAATAGATAGTTTTCAGTTGGCCCAAATATTAACAAGAGTTATTTCCCGTTACCGTTTTACGCTCTCTTATTTTCATCTTCTTGGCAGAGGTCATTTATAAACAGTCTTCAGCTCAGTATAGTGACCATGCTAGCTTTAAAAATGAATTTCTTTGCGAAGACAATATGAAAATTTGTGGGATTTTTTGTGTTTAGGAGATCTTTAAGAGAACTTTTCAAAAATGAAAAAAAAATAAATTAAATGCTTCGCTATTTATTATGATATATTGTGTATTGCATTACCTATCGAACAACCCTCGTACATGTAAGAACCTACTTTATTTCATAGTTTCAGATTTAGATTTTTCTCTAAATTTCCCTGCTACAACTTTATAAATTTATAAGACATACATGTATGGAAAAAATTACAAAATTGAGCACTAAGAGGGCGGCCAAGGGAAATAACTCGTAGAGAAAATACGTCCTATGAAAACTATTTAAATGACTTTCTTATTGAGAAAACATTTTTAAAGAGAGACACTATTAATCTTTTTTTTACTTAAATCTCTATCGCCTTAGAGGCATATCCGACATGTACTTGAAGCTCTCTGCTAGAAGTTTTGACGGGAAATTTTCCTTTTTACAAAAATTCTCAAGCGATTCAAAGTAAATATATCGAAAGACATTTGTTCAAACAGTGTAAATTTTACTGTCGTTTTTTTTAAATCTCCATATCATGAGACGCCGTGTTGTATTTACTGTTAAAAAGTGATAATACCTATTCAATTGGTGATATCACCTATTCAAATAATTTGTATCACCAATTCAGATTTTGAAAAGGTGATATCATCTATTTGAATAGGTTATATTTCCATTTCTTATTTTTGTCTCTGTGATAACTCATTAAAACTTAGCGGAGTTAATTTCTTGATAATCCTGTCAGAATGTAAATCAGGCAAGTCGAAAGGGAGGCCTAATTCAGTGCCAATCTCGTGCGCATCTGTCTCTGGGTCTGACGTTAAGGATGCTTAATATGCATGAGAATCTCGTGTGTCTGCCTTTCTGTTTGGCGTCAGTGGGAGAGGGCTATGGAAATTGGCAAAGAAATCTTCATGTAATTTAAATCTATGTCTACATTTTTAAAATATAAATCTACAATTTATTTTATAGTGAAACACAAATATAAGGAATCACTGTCTAGTTCGCATAGTATGCCAGGGACATCAACGATAGTGAGAAACATGGGATAATTTAAGCTATCGTTGATGCCCTGACATACTATACGAACTAAATGGTGATTCCTTAAATATCACCTATTCGACTAAGTGATTTCACCTATTCAAATAGGTGATACTGTTAAACTCGTTTAGTACGAACATGATTATCGCGGACTTACGGATATAGCGAAGTTAAATTTCACCTTTTAAAATAAATGAGACATGTATTTCCTATTCAAATTGAATAGGTTATATTACTTATTCGATTAAGTGAAATTACCTATTCAAAATATTTTCAGCGCTCTCGAGCGCCTGCAACTACAATAATCAAGATTCTTTGAATATGCATGCTCGGCTTCACGATCGAGTATCATTGGAAAACTGTGAAAGATGGGCCGTACGATAATAATTTCATTGTATCATGTTGTAGCATAAATAACTACATGAATGTTTATTTATTCTGTAGCTTACACTCTAAAAATAAATAAAAGATTATTATACTTTAAATTTTCCGTTATTTTTTAACAGTAAAAGCCCGAGTCATTCTCTGATTGTTTTATACAAGGACAAGGGAGATTTTCTTATGTCTAAGCACAACCAAAGATAGATTCTGATATCTGATTGGTCGATTCATCCAATCTTACAAAGTCCAGAAACAAGAATTTACACTTAAAATAATGAATAAATCCATTGTTTATATTTAAAAATATCTTAGACAGATGTGTATTGCTTTTAACCAAACATTTTTTGACAACAGTGATCAAAAGCCAAAAAAATCAGCAAATTAATTCACTTGATCAGAGATCATCCTCTCTGTGTTTTATAAGTGCTACAGCGCTAGATCATCTATCTTTTTTGAAAGATAAACTTGTTAATGAAATAACAAAAGCTCCCAAAGTTAAAGGTCCCTAAATCTCATTTACTTTCACTTTCGTTTTCTAAATCATCGTTAATGGAGACAATTGATTGTTGATTTGCATTTATTTTTAAACTTCTCAGTAGAACTTGTTTTTGATTTGCTAACAAATTACTTTATTTCAATTACATATATCTATCATGTATAATATGAGAAATATGACAAATCATGTAAAATGCATGATAAATGTTCTATAGCGAAAAATACAGAGTGAAAGGAATGCCACTCTGTTGTACACCAGCTGGGTAAAATTTACAAAATTTATATAACCTTACAGGAATCCATAACATAAGGTTTAAGGTTCAAGGTATATAAAAGTCTTGTATATAATATTGATGAAAACTGTTTAGTCCGAATTTTCTTAGTTCCAGTGGAAATCTTAATAGTCTAAGGATCATTTATTTTTTTTTAATTGTCGAAAGAATACAAATAGGTGATATCACCTAGTCAAAAAAAGTGATATCACCTAGTGGACTTTTACGAGAAGCACTGACTTATACAGTTTACGATTTACTGGGACTTTTAAACATGTATCATGTTCGGAGGTAGAGAATTGATGATACATAAGAAAATCTTTCTAGTTGTCAAAGTGTTGTGTTAGCCAGGAGTTGAAGGTAGGATTGTTTTCATTTTCTTCAAGACAACTTAAATGTTCATTGAAATTAGCCGTTATTTTCTTTCAATTAAATGTTGATGATTTATAATTTATATATGTTTCATAAAAGAGCTTCCATACATTGTCCTAGTGTAAAAGTGTAAAAGTAAGCTGTCAACTGTTAAAGTCAGCGCTCGTCGTAAAATTCCATAGGAAATGAATAGGTGATATTACCTATATGAAGTTTATAGATAATATAACTTTTTGGCAGTAAATACCAAAACGGCGAATCATACATGTACCATGCACGATTACAGTGGCTGCAACGTTATCGTTGACAACTTACACGCACGATCACGTTACATGCATGAATAACGCACGATAAAACCTGTTACTCGGACGATCCTTGACGCACCCGATTCTACACGTTACACGATTGCTAACATAAACGCACGATTTTTCACGCAAAATTGGTTCAAAATATTTAAGAATGAATAATTTCAAAACGAAAAAAGGGCTAAAACCTATTTTAAGGTTCAAATAATTATTTTTATTATTTCATTGACTTAAAAATACTAAAAAATGAATTAGATGTTTCTGGAAATACATTTGTCTATGTGTGAATAATCAATTATGTTGAATTAAAAAAAAAAACTTTTTACCTATGTATGCCTAATCAATAATTTTAGATTAAGAGAACTATTTACGTTAATCTCCGACTTAAGAAGAATGATTTTTTTCCTTCTCCATATAGAAGATTTACATGTTGGCGGACCTTGAATTCTGATTGAATTTGATTTGCGCAGTAAAGACGATAAGATTGAAAAAAAAAAACAAGAGGCCCATGGGCCACATCACTCATTTGAGTAGTATTGGTGATGTCGTTCTTTACCCGATTTCCCAATTGTTATACCTAGTGTGGCCTCGTCCTCACCCTGGGAGGTCACAATTTTATCACAAGTTAGAATCTACACTATCCCATGATGCTTCCAAGTAAGTGTCAGCTTTTCTAGCTCAGTGGTTCTTGAGAAGATTTTCAAAACTTGTTCCTATTTATTTCTAAGTAAAACTTGGATTCCCTATTGCAGCCCCGCCCAACCCCCCTGGGTCATGATTTGAACAATTTAGAATCTACACTTCTTCCAGATATTTCCAAGTAAGTTTCAACTTTTCTGGCGCAGTGGTTCTTGAGAACAAGATTTTTAATGTGTGTTCCTATATATTTCTATGTATAACTTGAATTCCCTATTGCAGGCCCGCCCAAACCCCGGGGTCATGAT